AGGGAGCAGGACACACATGAAGGGAGCAGGACGCCCACAGAAGACCTTGGGGCAAGAAAAGAGGACCCCAGAGAGATGAAGCAATGCCCCTTGCAGAGTGCTGCCTCAAGGAGGGGATCCTAATAAATCCTACAGCAGGATTTAGAGAAATATTGGGACACTGAGGGGCATTCTGGCTGCAGGCTCCAGTACCCACTTTTCTGCCTGTGTCTCATTGCCAGCACACAAATAAGAGTAGAAAAACCCCTGTTTCCACTGAACAGTAGTCATACTTCTACATTGGAAGCTCATGTTCAGTCTTCCTCCTGGAAACCACCCTGAATTTACCTTATCTTTATACTCCAGGGTCACCACATGTGATACCTCATGACACTTTTTGTAGGAGCAAGCTTTTGAAGAAGGGCCWGTAACCCCAGTTACAACAAACCAGTGCAGTAACACAGAGTGAAAGGCACCTTCCCCTTCCAGCAGCTCCTTTGTTTCAGATACCCAACGCTGTTAACCTAAAACCATCCAAGCTCTACAACAAATTGCAGGTCTTGTTAATGACCACATGGACACTTGCATTGGCAAAACCCTTACCTGATTGGGAGCTGGAAGGAGTAACAGCCACTTCTGGCTCCCACAGGGCTGCCAGCATCCCAGCCCAGAGCCCAGCTCCAAGGAGGCCTCAGCAGACCCTACAAATACTGCTCAGGGAGGGCAGGTGGGTGCCCTTATCCCATCTCACCCAATTAGGCACTGCAGGTGCCACCTGTGGCCTCCCCATTTCCAGGTTCCTTCCAAAGAGCAGAACAGGCCTAGAACAAAACAGGGCAGGGCTGGGGAAATATAAAAGCCAGGAGCCAAGCTGCTCTGTGTCCTATGTTTGTGTGGTGGCGTGGCGTGGCGTGGCGTGGCGTGGCGTGGCGTGGCGTGGCGTGGCTGTACCTGCTGCTCAGTGGTTGTGCCCACAATGAGGATCAGACCCCCAAGGCTGGGGATAAGCAGCCCTGAGGAGCGTGCAGGAGGCCCCTGCTGCTCCTCACTTCACAGCTCATTGGGAAGTAGGAACCCAAACCTGGACAAGCACAAGYGCAGCAATGTGAGGATGGTGCTGGCACGGGGCAGGCTCCAGGCCACCCCTGGGGCGCTTCCCCAGCTCAGGGCCAGGTCTGCTGGGTTTCAGCCTTCCAGTATTGCCCAAAGTGTCCGTGATGCAGTGAAAAAGCAGCCTCTGAAGCCCMTTGGCACGAGAGGCGTTGGGTGCCGAGCAGAGGGGAGCAGTGCTGGAGCCGGGGCCAGGAGGGGCACCCGGCCTGGTCCCYGGCAGGGAAGGTTCCCAGCCAGCTCTGTCCTGCTCCTCGGCCGTCCCTCCTCCGGCTTTGGGAGCTCCGGCTTGCACTGAAAACCTGTCCTAGAATCATAGAGGGTCCTCCGGAGCAGATCGTTCCGTGGGGGGAACAGGCACCTCGCGCGGGCCTGGAAAAGCTGCCCTGGGATCCCATGGGAACCTTGGCCTCCTGCCGGGCCCTTCCTGGGATGCACTGTGGGCCCCCTTTCCATCCTGACCCCCTGCCACCAGCTCTGAATTCTCGTTTTTCCTTTCACAGCCTGTCGTCCTCCAGCACCCTCTTCTCCAATCCATCTTCTTCTCCACCAATCTATTTTTTTTTGTTGTTTTGTTCTATCTTTGTCCAATTTCATTCCCTTTTTGCCCCCCTTTCCTCCTCTTCCTTCCAAACTGAGCGTTTTCAGCTCGGGGCAGGAATGGCCAAGCTGTAAGTGCAGAGTTTTATTACATGGCCTTTTGCAGCCTGGCATGCAGCATTCAATTTGGAGCGGAGTGTCCTCGCTCTGTTGCATGCCGAGATCTGTTGTCCAGATGAATTAATTCCAGATTACATGTGGGTGTGGACTTCAGCTGGGCAAAATTTGGATACCCTGGTTGAGTCATTATTCTCTGATGAATCTCTTGGTGACAGTCTTTGCCCCTATTGTTCTGAGGTGAGCCCCATGGCAAAAAATGTGAAGGGAAGAAACAAAAGAATATAAAGAAAGGTTACGAAATCAAATTCAGCAAGGCCGGGTTATTGTCCCGCCATTCCTTCTGCCCGCCATCGGAGATGGGATTTTGCAGGAAAACACCCGTCGGACAGAGCCGTGGGACATCCCGGCCGCCCCGGCCCCTTGGGCTGTGCCCAAGTGCCGGCTGTCCCCGGGACACGAGCGGCGCCGGATCCGCCGGGAAGCAGCAGACACAGGGAGGAGGAAGTTATCATCAATTCTTAACATTTTATTTCTTTACTGGGTTAAACAAGGAGCGGAGAAAACCTCGGCCCCAAAATACAACAGAACTGAAAGCATTACAGGTACAGAGACTATTGAACACAGAGAGTAGTAGGATAATAGTTTAATACAACTGAATTATAGCATGGTTTTGTGTTTTTTTTTTTTTTTTTTTGTTTTGTTTTTTGTCAAACCATTTTGGAAAATAAATGTAATAGGAACTAGTGCAAAAAAGTTCTAAACATGAAGCACAGTGTATAAAATGGCATAAGAAAACGGTCCCCTYGAGGACACAGTCACTTTCTTATGACAGAGGGGGGAAAGAGAGAAACAGAAGGAGGGTAGGAAATAGAGAGGGAAGGGTCGGAAGGCAGAGGAGGAAGAAAGCTGGAAAGAAAGAGAAACTGGGCCGGGGGATTAGAAAGAATATTTTGACTTCAGCAGTATGTTTGTTGTTGTTTCTGTTTGCTTGTTTCTCACCTGGCCACCACGTACTGTAAAAGGCCCTTCTGCAGGTGTGAGCTCTGCAACCACCAACATCCAGGAGCGCTTGAGAAGGGTTCGGTCACAAGCAGCCTCTTGCACACGCACCACGGGGGCACCGTCCCGCACGCGGGGACGGCCGGAGGACAAGGACACTTTGCGGGGCCTCCCCTCTTCCCCGCTGCCTGGCACCGGGTCACGCTGGCGCCCGGGCTCGGCCTTTGCCCCGCACTTTGGCTCCCTTTGCGGTGCCCCTGCCGGATCCACGCGCTTGCTTTCCTCCCGTTTAAGCTCCCGCGAACACGTGGGAACGTCCCCGGCTCTGAAGGCTTCCCGCAACCGTGAGGTCTGAACGCCCCGGAAGGCAGAAGAAGCTGGATTCGTTTGGGCTTGGAAAAGGAAAGAGGGTTTGGAGGAGGATGGACAAGAGGGCTTGGTGAGGAGGACGCATCGGGCCCGCGATGGGCAGCGGTGCCCGCGGCTGCGCAGAGGAGCCCCCAGGCTCCTGCTCCCAGTCGCAGCCCCCAACTGCAGCCACACGCACAAGGGCTCACGGAGCTCCCCATGCTCGGTTCTGAAAGCTAAGGGTTTGGGGGGAAAGGGCTGTTAAAAAAGGTCAGAATTACCAATAGGGCTTGCTTTGACAAGTTTCAAGGGAAAAAAAACAGGCTTGAAATGAAGTGTACATGCAATTCAAGCACGTACAGTTCCCAAATAAATACATTCAAAAATGGTAAAACCAAGCCCAAATTTCCTAAACCGGCCCCTTTTCGTGTGTGTGTTTTGGAGTTCCAGTTTACAGCAACCACATTTGTAGACTTCCTGGTCTGAAAGAAAAGGATCGTGATAAAATTCCATAGCTCCACATGTTAGAGAGACAGTCAGCTACTCTGGGCCTTGTTCCGACTGAATAAACTAGAAATACAGGGAATAAAACCATGCTGGCAGAGTGTTATGCAGGAGCTCAGCCCATCTCGTCTCCCAGGCTGGGCTTGCGGCACCTTCCTGACACAGGACACGGAGCTCGGAGGTAACTGGAACGGGCAGACGGGGTAAAAAGCAGCAGGAGATGCTCATAAAGCACAGAAGGAAAATAAAAATCCATAAATAAAAAGGAAATGCAGCCAYTAGGTTTGGAGGAGGACCCGCAGCGGGCCCGGAGCCCCTGCTGCTCCAGCAAAACCCAGCAGCCCCGCGTCGCCCCGCACGTCGCCACGTCCCTGCTCCCTCCTGAGGAGCCTCCGTGCTGCTCGGGCAGCGCCCCGTGTTGGCGAACCCTCGGCGTCCCTGCTTCAGAAAGCTTTATCCTTCGCATACGGGCACAGAATTCCCCGCACTCCTGCACCCCAGAAGGGAGCCCTGCGCAGGCCAGGGGTGCCCTTGGCAGCGGCTCCATCCTGCGGTACATGTAGACCTGGCACCACGGGCTGCATGYTGAGCGAGGCCTCTCGGGGCCTGTGCAATGGCAGAACTGTCCCAAAGCGCAGCCCTTGAGCCCTGCTCCTTCTCTGCACCCCACGAGCTCAGGGACCCCCCCTGCGACACCGGTTTGCAGCACCCGTCCCTCAAAGAGCAGCCCTGTGCAAAGCAGCCTGTGCAAAGCTCCGGCCCCCCTGGGCACCAGCCGCCCACGGCGCCCACGGGGCCCAGGGCACCCGCACGGAGCTGCCAAGAAGCCTCTCCCCAAAACCCRGAGCAAACGGTGCCTGGGCCCGGGTTGTTCAGCTAAAGAACYGACGTTGCTCGACAGGCTAAACTAAGTTGTTATCAACACCCTGGTGAGACRTTCGAATCTGCCCTTCTTAACCTTTCAYGTGTGATTTAACAGAGATTTATCCYCCTGTGGACAGAAACCCACGAGGCAGTCCAAACTGGCCATGAAAAATTGTCTGACATATTGCATAGATTTTAGCAGTGATTTTGGGAAGTCTCGAGTGTGTTTCCGTGCGGCCCCCGGCCCCGTCTCTGTCCGTTTCGGCAGCCGCTCGCCCCGGGTAGCACCCCCATTCCCGACGGGCTGCGGCCCCGCTCCGAGGGCAGGGACGTGGGAGCCGGCCGGAGCAGCACACGGGCCGGGAAGCGCCATCCCTCCTCCCGGCGGGAACGCTTCCTTCACACGAGCAGCGAGCTCCGCATTTCCTTCTCTTTCAGACCCGCTCCCCAAAGCCCGTGGAGCAAACGAACAGTCTCCCAGCACTGCCTGCAGTCCTGAGTGGCAGTGAATGAACTGCCCTGACATCTCCTATTGAAGCAGAGCAAAATGTGTTGAACAAAAACCAGTTCAAGATGTTTTCTGAGTGTTGCCAAGTTACTCAACATGTTCTGCTTTAGTTGTCAGATGCTTTCAAAGTGATTTCCCTAACTCAGAGCACGAATGGTGAGGGCTCTCCCTGGGAATCTTTTGCCTGGGGCTACCATGGATCTGCATTTTCGTAAGAAAAGGGCTCAACTAATAATTAATCTTCGCCAGAGGAAGCAGGGCCTTTCTTTGGCTTTTTTTTTTCTTCAGTTATTTTTAATTAATTTGTACAACTGGCAGTTGCATTAAAGCGCCAGGCTGGAGTGCTGCAGACAGAACGTGGCCACCTTTCCCGTCGCGGCTCCGGCTCGGCCTGGCCAGGCTTCCCGGCGGATCCCGCGCGGCCGCTCGGCAGGACGAGCCGGGCACGAGGTGCATCCGAGGGCCCGGTGCCGCCGGGACCCGCGGCACGACGGGCTCCTGCCGGAGGGGCCGYGGGAATCGCTGCTCTGGGAATGGGGGTTCTCCCACTGCAGAGGAATCCAGTCACGAGGGGAACGTCTGACCTGACAAACCAACCCTAACGCGTTGCTCTCTGCGGAGAGGAAGAAAGGGAACAGCACCTGGGGTTTACATCTGCCCTGGGATAAATGCTCTTGGATTTGGCGTTTTCCAGARTCCCACGTAACTACACCATGAGCTGCTCTGGAAAGAACTCCACGTGCTGGMGCCGCGCGCGCCAGGCAGTGGATGGGGCTGCCACCCGCGTGCCCTGCGCCAACAAACCCTCTTGTCTCTGCTTATCCCGGCTAACTCACTGCAGGGCGAACAGCAGCATTGTTTTAATAAAAATAATGGYGGTGATAATAAGGCAGAGCATGTTAAAGTCTCCTTTCTGGGCTTTTCCCTCGCACAGCAAAGAGGGAGCTAATACAGACAGAGGATTATTAAGGTTGTAATGTCAGACCGGCGAGGAGATTTTTATCCGATGGCCTTATAATGATGGACTGCAGCACGCACCGCTCCCAGCTGCTCAGCCCTGCTCCGTGAGCAGCCCGGGCTGGATTCATTTAACTCGATTGGCAAAGTGTTGAATACAGCATATGGTGCCCTAAAACCACAGAGCTCATTGACAGCAGCCCAGACTTGCCAAACCAAAGGTCTCCTTCCAAACGGCTGGCGCTGGGGAGCCGCGGCGCTTCCCGCTGCGTCGCGCCGGGCAGGGAGCGCAGCCGCGTGCGCGGCAAGGGCGCCCTTCCCTCCCGCACGGCCCGGGGTGCTGGAGCGCAGGGAGCCGTGCCTTGGAAAGCCTTGGGGCTCGTCGGGCTGCAGCGCCCGCGGAGCCCCCTCGCGCGCTGCCCGCTGCCCGCGCCGAAGCCCGAGGCCTGCAGGCGCTCGCCTGCCGCTCGCTCCCCTCGGCCTGGCGCAGCGGCTCCGCACTGCCCCGAGCGCACGGCACGGGCAGCTCCCGCTGCTCCCCCWGCCCAGCCGGCCTCCCTGAGCCCGCGGGGGCCCCGCTGGGCGCACTGGGGCTATCCGGCCGCACTGCCCCAGCCCCGCGTCCTCTCCCAGCAGCTCCCAGTGCCAGCGCGGGGCCTTGCACAGGGCACCCGCAAGGCGGGCGCAGCGGCACCCGAGGGGAGACCCGCGCGCCGCCCCCGTGTCACCTGGCACAGACCCTGCTCTGTGTCATCGGAGCAGACAATGAGCAGGGCCGGTGACTCAGGGCCACTTGCTGACGCACCACACTGGGCTATTCTTCTCTCTCTAGATGAGTTGTTCATAGATTGGATTCAGCCTATCTCGGAAAGAGGCGCCTGGAATTAGCTTAACTCTTGGCAGTACAGGAAAAATCTAATTTCCTTAAGAATGGGCTGGATCTGGTTGTCCTGAGGCAGGACCACGGCCGCGCTCCCCGCTTTGGTCTAGCTTTGTGCCTTCGCTACTCATCAAGGCCGCTACGTAACTGATTTTTTTAGCAACAGAGCAAASAGAAAAAGTCAAATTCCTGTTTGCCAACCCACTGCGTATACTGGTTCTCAGGTCTGTGTAAACTAGACTGGAGAGACATGGATGCTGTTATGAATATTCAAACAAGAATGGCCCTACCTATTCCGGCTAGCAACAACAACAATACCTGCCCAGGAAACTTTCTCTGCATTTTCCTTGAAAACTAGTGGTATAAACCTTGCGACACCACGTCTGGCAGCCAACGCACGTCCCTGCATCCGCGGGACTTTGGTAACATGCAACTGATTATGTGTAAACATCACCCCAAAGCTCTGAGATGCAAGTCAAAGCAGAAGTCAAACATTCAGCTGCTTCTCAGAGCCTCTTTGGTCTGGAAATGGGCTGGAAGTGTCGGGAAACCAGTCTTTCCATGAGAGTCCTGGTACTTCCCTTCCAGCCAGGGAGGAAGTAGCTTTTCTCATGGTGCTTTGCTAACTTTTGCTTCACCTCCACAGGCCAGAAAACACACTTCATAGTCCTAAACTCTGTGACTTCTCTGCCCCTCACAGGGATCTGGGGTTGGTTTGAGACGCAGCAGAATATTTGTTCTTTGCTTGGCCCTGCCCAGGAGCAGGACGGCACAAACACCAGGCTGCCAGGAGACAGGGAAGAGGGAGCAGCASAGGAAGGGGCTGCAATGGCCATGTTTATTCCCATATCGCGATTCGGATGGACATTTTGCACTGGCCACAACCTGCTTCCCCGTCTCCACGTGCTTCACCTGGCACCACTAGCACCGTGTTAAAACACGAGCTCGCCTCCCCCTTCACCCYGCAGCCAGAATGAACTTTCCTTTTTGTGCTGATCCTTTAGTTCCTTCTTCGTTGAAAGTACCCGCCACCTTCCAACACTCCTGAGTGCAGTTCCCGGGGAGCGAATGGAGGATTCAGGAGTCCCCTATCAGAGCGGGATCGAATACCTGTTTGGGGCTGAACACCTGCATAAGCACCTTGCCCGTCTGAGCCCAGCTGTCCTGGCAGGGCTCCGAGAAATGTTCCGATTTGGGAAGTAGCTTTTGATAAAAAAGTGCTCGTAAAAACTCTCCTCCCCAGCTGGGGTTCATTAGCGCCTGTTCTCTGTGTGGGAGTCGAGAGCTCCACAAGCCAGATTTCTCCAGCCCTTTGCCCAGCCCTTATGCCATCCACGAGATGATTTGTACGAGGCATGGAAAGATGCATTTTGAAGCCTTTTATCCAATTGTTATTATTCTTGAACCAGGGGCAGCCTCGCAACGTGCCTCCGCCTAGCCCGCGCACTGCTGCAGTCACATCTCCCCAGCTCCTCCGAGACTTGTCCCCTTCCCCTGGGGAAAGGAAAGGGAAAAGCAAACAAAAAGAGTTATAGGAAAGCAGGATCCACGCAAAGGGGAACAYGGGGAAGCTTGGGGACAGCCCAGCCTCTCGCCTTCTCCACAAGCTGCAGGGACCACCAGGTGAACCCCGTGCAGGGCACGTTCTCCACGCCAGGGCCACAGGCTGCAGCCAGTTGACCTGCTTTTCCGCAGCCAGGAAACGGACGAGGGTTTGGAGAGCGGAGCCGCTTCCCGCCCCACCTGGCACCGGGGATCGCAGCCTGCTGGGCCTAGAGGCCGAGCAGGGAAAGCAGCCACCTTAGGTTGGTTCTGTGACTCTTGGAGCCCCTCGGCAAGGCTGCCCGTGCGGCAGCCCCGCGCTGCCCTCGCTGCCCCTCGGCCCTACCTCCGTGCGCCGGCGCCGCCGCGGCTGCTCCTGACCGAACCCTTCTCGGAGGCGAGTCCCGCAGCCCTGTGCGCATTAGAGACTCTTCATCACGGGGATGCCCCGCGCGAGCAGCTCTTGGGGGGATGTGCGGGGGTGTGTGTGTGTGCGTCACCCCCAATCCCGTGCCTCCCATTGGAGGAATAGCGTGTGCCCCCCTTAGTGGAAAAAGATCTGGCATTGCTCTTGGAGACCTCCCTTCGCCTCCGCGTCACTCGTCCCGCGCGACRCCCTCCTCCAGGGCGGGCAGGGCGTCCAGCGGGAGCCCCGCACCGGCCGCGCCGCCGTGCACGCTCGACAGGGACACCATGGTGTGCAGAAGCATGAGGACCAGGACGCACAGGCGGAGACGGCTGTGGCCGAGGCGGGAGCCRGCGGAGACGGGCAGCAGCGATGGCGGGTGCGGCTGGTGGTACTGGTGGTGGTGGTGGTGGTGGTAGAGGTGGTGGTGGTTCTGCCGCTGGTGATGGAGGTGGGAATGGAGCGACTCGTGGGCCGGGGGCCGGGGGGCTGTGTCGTCGTTGCTGTCTGCTGGCGGGGCGCACGAGTCCCATTGCACTTCGCAGCACTTGGCCTCCTCCTCGGGCAGCTGGGTCTCGAGCAGCCCTGGCAAAAGAGGTGGCGGGGAGCGGTGAGCGAGCGGCAGCACCGCGCAGGCCACGCGGGGGACGGCGCCGCCGGACACGAGGTGCCCCCCGCACGCTCCCCCAGGGAGGTACCACACGAGTTCAGCAAGTCCAGCATCATGGCCATGCTTTACACGCCAGCCCCAAAACGCTTCCCTCAGGGCGCCCGGAGGCCGGGATTTCACAGCCCGCCGCCAGCCGCTCCGTCCAGCGCTGGCATCTCGCTGCGAAGGCGGCGTGCGGGCAGCACCACAGGTGCCTCCAGCCCGCGGTGCCGGCGCCGTCCCCCCTGCCCCGCTCGCCCCGCTCACCCGCACAGATGAAGCCCGGCAAGCCGCCGTAGATCAGCTCGTCGTTGTCCGGCAACACGAATGGGCACCTGGTCTGCACCTCCAGGCAGTATTGCTTGCATGGGATCCGGTGTCGGCACTGTTGTTGCGTCACGTTGAAATACTCGGAGCACAGCCAGGCCTTGTAGACAGCCTAAAGGGAGGCACCAGAGGGAAACGTCACCTCGGCAGCCACGGGTGGCCGTGCCACAGCAGGAGCTCAGCCGCAAGGGAAGGGCAGGAGGGGTTTCCTCTTGCGGCACTCGGCTCCCGCCACAAACACTCGCCAGCATCTGGTCACTTACTGTACTGGTTACCAAAATAATCCATGAGGGCTATTCCCAGCYGCCGCGGAACCCGGGGCACTGCAGAAGCCGCCTGGGCCTGCGCGTGCTGCGGCTCCGCTCATCCCGTCCTGCCACGGAACCGAACCCTTCCCGCCCTCCGCACCAGCCCGTCTGCTCCGGGGGCTCCCACAACCGTCGCACCTCTCCCTGCGCCATTGCACCCACTCGCACGAGCAGCTCCCGTAGGGAATTCCTCATTTGGCAGGCAGGCTGTGGGGGCTCACACACCAAATGCCTGCACGTGCTCCTGTGCTCTGCCCTCCCAGCTGAGCCCCAGCGCCTGCCTTGGGCTCCGGAGTGGCCCAACCAAGTGGCCCAGGGCGCTGCTGGCACCGCAGCTCCGGCTCCGTCCTGGCTCCCGGGCATCCCCACGGGGGAAGCTCCCTCCTGGCTCCAGGGCATCCCCACGGGGAAGGCTCCATCCTGCAGCACCGAGCAGCCAGGGAGCCGCGGTCCCCTCCGCGGCACCTCCTGCGTGTACCCAGGCACTAGCTACAAACCCCAGGCCGCGCTAATGGCCACATCCAACTTCCTTTGAAATCAAGTAGAAAGAGCTGCCTGTGAGTCAAAGGGAATGAATTTCCCTCCTCAGAGCGCTTGGAGTAAACCCCGTGCTGCTCCTTCCAGCTGGATTTTTCTTTTTTGGAGGCTTTAAAAACATCTCTTCTTTGTTTCCCCATGTTTTGCATAGATCTTTATCATCACTTTGTTTGGCCCATGGTAACGTCTCGGGATTAAAGCTCATTAAGAAATTCTTGGCAAGTTGTTTTTTTATGTTTCTTTTTTCTTTCCTGGAAACTGCCAATTCATGAAAACCAGAATCTTCATGGAAGCACGTTAATTTTGGTGCAACTTTCATCGGGAGCTGTTTAAGCGGGAGCAGGCTGCGGCGCGGGGAGCTCCGCGCCCGGGCCGGCCGCGGCTCTGCTGGCCCGCGGCACGTCGAGCGCTCGGGCTGCGCTCCAGGAAGGAGCCCGCACAGCGCTGGGGACACCGGGGCCACCAGGGACGGGAGCGCCGGGGTCTCGCTCCACACGAGCCCCATTGAGCTCCGTCCCGCGCGGGGCCGAGGGCTGGGGCCGTCGGGATGTGCCCTCCTCCCCATCCCACCGCGCTCCTGCCCGCGGCCTCGCGGCCCGAAGCCTCTTCCATGGAGGAGTGCCTGGAGGCTGCACAGGAGCCTGCAGCCCCATCCAGCCCCCGTCCAGCCCCGCCGTTCCTGGCAGCTCCGGAGGCTGGGAAGTGAGGCCGGAGCTGCCGTCGGAGCTGCCGGCATCCCTGGGAAACCAGTAGCAGGGAAATCACGGGGAGGGACGGATCTGGCTCTGCCGGAGGTGGCCCCGGGGCTGTTTCAGGTGGCTTGGAGGTTTCCTGGAGGGGAGGCTGCGAACAGGATCTTCCTCACGGCCCAGGCTCCGGCAGCAGGACGGCTCCAGTGACTCCAGCAGCTGCACAAGCGCCAGCCGGAGGCCGGGGCCATGCAGGACCATGCTGCCCCTTGGCCGGGCCAAGCACCAGCCACGGACACCGCGCGCCGGGAAAGCTCCCCGGAGCGACCCACTGCAGCCGGACCCGTCATCCCCGAACGGAACCGCAAGGGCAGCTGCCCCCGGGCCGCCYGGGGCACTGGCTCAGCTTTAACACACACCCTAATAACAGCCTCTGGGCCCCGGGGGACGACACGAGCGGCACCAGGGCAGCGCGGGGCCGGGAGGATCCTCCCGGAGAAGGATCCTCCAGCAGGGCTGGCACACCGCGCTTAGCAAGTGCGATTAGTTTTTCTCATTAGGGAAATGAGTATCCATCATTGCGTTTCAATGGGACCTTAATAGGACATAAAGGAGGCATAGATATGTCAGTGGATAATGATGCATTGCAATAGATGAGATGGAAAACCAGAAGAAATAAAATGTGCTTCAAACCATCTGCTGACTAGAGAGGACAGAACCYGCTCTAGGAGTTCTTCAATCCTTCACTAGGTGGGCTGCATCTTTCTCCTACTCCAGCCTGCTTCACCATGCTGTTATTTCTGTGSATCTACAGGTGCCTGATGTGCAGCAAAAACAGAGCACGAGGGAGAAACAGGCACTACGGGAGAACCCGGCGGCCGCAGCCCTGCAAAGAGGCGCAGGGAGGGTCCTCAAATCCCAGGGGCCCTTCCCGAGGGCTCTCTGGGAACAAAGCGCCCGGCTCTGCCAGGAATCTGTACCCGGTGGCTCGGCAAGAGGAATTCTCCTTTTCCCCATTAGAGGGCACAGGCATCCTGCTGCATCCCTGCTCCGGGGCCTGCGGAGCCGGAGCCGCGGAGCGAGCGGAGGCGGGAGCAGCCCGGGCTGGGCAGCTGCTGCAGGGCGCCCGGAGCCTCGTAGGCAGCGCGCAGGGCTGTGGCTGCTCACAGAGCGGCTCCTGCAAAGCCTAAGGGGCTCCCACGGGGCCCAGCACCATCCACAAGCAATTCACGGGAAGGGAAAAGGTTAAACCTGCAACAAACGTGATCCAAAGGCAGCAAACTGCCCAGAACCAGCGACTCGCCCTCGAGCCGGAGGAGCAGCTGCTGCAGGGCCCGCTTACAGAGCCACTATGGTTGGGAAAGACCCTTAGACCATCAGTGCAACCGCRAGCGGCAGGCGGGAGCCTCCCGGTGCCCCGGGCCGCGCAGAGGTGCAATAGGCAGCGGAGCAGCGGCGCAGTCCTCCCCGCACAGTGCCCTTTTGCGCTGAATTACGTGGCGGTGCCAGGGGGASCCGGGGGCGCTCCCGGGAGCGGCAGAGCATCCGCGGCGACGTCCACCATCACATCGATGGGCAGGTTTCCTGGGGAGGCTGTTTCAGCACCAAGAACTTCATCCCTTGCAGCCTGCAAGTTTTCCTTGGGATCTGACCTACATCTTCCCACCCGAAAGTTCATTCCCTTCAATCATTCCACAAATCACTCCTCTCCTTTCATGGTGTTTACACATTTCTAACATTTGCAGATGTATCACAGTCCCCATTTAGTCATAACTTAGGCAAGCTCGACTGATTTACTCTCTCTCACTTCCTGCAAGCCTCTCTCCCAGTCCTTTCGTCACCCGCGGCTCCTCTCCGAGCTCCCTGCCCATCACCACTGCTGCTGTGGAAGGCACCTCGTGCCCAGCGGAGCCCGGGGACGCGGCGCTCGGCCCGGCGTGCAAGGACAAGGCACCGGAGCGTCCGTCACCACGAGGTCGCCGGCTCTGAGGGCCCCGCCGCGGGGCCGCAGGGCAGAGCTCGGGAGGAACGGGCTCCTTCCAGGCCGATTGCTGCGGGAACGGCGCCTGCACGAGCAGCCCCGCGCGCGCTCGCGTCCCCCGAAAACACCCTGGCTCTCACTGCAGGCGAGCGCGGCAGATGGCCGGGGTCCCGGGATAACGTCAGGCCTGCGGGTTTAGTGATAGCGGAGCGAGCGACGCTGAGCAAGACCCAAGAGCAGCGKCTCTCTCCTCGGGGAGAGGGGCCTGCGCCGCGGAGCGCGACGAGCGGAGCTGCCGGCACCGCAGAGCCTCCCGCACGTTATCACACCCCACGCAACGCCCCACGCGCGTTCGGCCCCCATGGGATCCACAGCCGCCAGCACCGCGGGATGCGGCCGGACGGGAGGGCGAGCAGTGGCCAGGAAGAGACCAGGAACCCGGGGGGACGCAGGAGGGTTTCTGGCTCCGGTGCAGCCCTTCTCCCAGCACCCAGCCCTTCAGAAGCACAAGAGACTGGTTACCCAACTCCCTAAAAAGCACCGTCCTGTAGAGAAGGCATATCCGGAACGGGAAGCTCAAAGAGGAACTGGGAGGCCAGAGGAGCTGTGGAGAGAGTGGGCAGTGCTCGGGAGCCAAGGGATTTCTTGGCATGAGAACAAACAGCAAAGAACGGGGAGCACCCCCTGTCCTGCTGGCCCCCGGATGGGGCAGTAGGTAACAGGTCGGTTAGTTAGTTGCCTAACTATTATCAGACTAACTAGTTAAAAAGTAATTACAGACTGTTAYGAAGTTGCAGATGAAGATGATGGATGTTGGGACAGAGAGAAAAATCCGGTCCCTGCCATCCATCAGGACCGCTTGAGGAGCCGCTGCGGTTAGACACTGCTGCAGCCAAGAGCTTAGCGGGACTCAGGAGTAGATTAAACATTTATACAGATAATGAGAACATCCTGTTACATTAGATAGGATATAAAAAAATAAAGGCCAGACACTCCAGTGCCACCAGCCATGAATTACGCAGTGCCYGACGGGGCCGGGGAGCTTCTCCGGGCACACGGGGCGCTCCTGGCTCCGCAAAGCGGCGGCTCCCGGCACCGGGTGGGCCCGGCCGCACGTGGCTGTTCGGCCGAACACCATGAAAACCCTCGTGCAGGAAACCACCCTTTTCCGAAGCATCCATTGCCAGGAGATTCTAAGGGTGGACAGGACCGGAGCGCCCCGGCCTGTGTCCGCCCTGGGCGCTGCAGCCTGGCTTGGAGCCCGGCTGGAGCCTCCCCTTCCAGGGGCCCTGCGYGCGCGGGGACAGAGCCTGGGCAAGCACGGGAGGCCGGGAAAAATCCTGCATCCCGCACGGTTTCCATGGTGACCGGCAGGCCAGAGAGACACCCAGGCTGGCACCGGGAGCCAGCGGCGCCTCCGCACGGGCTCCATGCGCCGCAAAGGACAGGGATGTGCAGCAACCATTAGGACCTCACYCTACACTGGAGTCACCAGCGGGATGGGGATGAATCCCAGGTGCCAGAGGCAGCAGAGAGGATCCYGCTCTCCGGCTGCGCGCAGCGGAACCGCCCGGGAGCCGCGGCGGGATGAGCAGGG